CCCGCTCCTCCCGCTCCTCCTCCCGCTCCTCCTCCGCCAAACAACGTGACAAAGATCCCGCCATAGCCATCTCCTATGAAAAAAACAAAAAAAAATGGCCCGCCACGTGGCTAACCGAGAGAGAGAGAGAGAGAGAGAGAGAGAGAGAGAGAGAGAGAGAGAGTTTTCCATCGATAGAATGAGCAACGCACTTCGATTTTGCTCATCCTATCGATGCAAATAGCGTGATGCCAAGCGCGGGGTTGGAGACTTACCTGTTCGCCAGTGCGTATCTCTCTCTCTCTCTCTCTCTCTCTCTCTCTCACACACACACACACACACACACACACACACATATATATTTAGAATGTATATAGATATATGTGCTTACCTATGAAAGAATTATATATGACCATATGTATATATTTATTCTGCCAAATGGTAGCATACTAATGAAGAGCTGATAAGCCTTATAATCTGAAAAGCCCCTGCTATTTTTTTGCAGCTCAGGCCCTACATTCCCTTCCCCCCCTTTTTTTTATGTGGCACCAAGTGATAATAAAGCCGGCCTCACAAAAAAAATCCCTTCGCCCGCACTCGTTCCGGCAGTGGCGCGCCAGTTCGAAAATTTTGATTGTTTCACTTTTTGGTCGCCAAGCGCTATACTCCGAGATGCTACTTAATGAGCCAATCCATTAACGTTTGGCCTCACTTTTGGAGTTGTCGGTGTATGGTCCTCTGCGCTCTTTTGCAAGAGACAGTGTGTGCATACTCCCGACAGTCTCCTTAACGCCTACAAATCTGGCGTGAACAAACGGCTGCACCACGAGGGATTGTCATCTTCATCCTCTTCTGCGCTCCATTTCTCGCCCCCTCGCCTCTCATCCTCATCTCCCAGGAAGGGAAGGGTTTTCTGCTAGTTCTAGAACGCGGAGCAATAGTCTCGTCCTTAATCGCGGTTGTAATTTTTTTTTTCAAGACAGCAGCTATGAGTGGCACATCGTCGTCAACTAGAATGGTAATCAGCTCTCACCTACAACACAATATCGCTATC